GACTGGATGAAAGACGATGGTGCTGACGTGCTGTGCGTTCGGTTTGTTTGTAGATCTGGTTGACTTGTCTACCCCGGAGGAGTTCCCGCGTGCAGCGGGTTAGCTCCGTGCATACCCTGTCTTGTTATGATTCCCACCGATCTGTGTTGCTGTTTGTGCTGCCTGCCTCTGCTGATGCTGTTGCTGCCTGCTTTGTCTATGCGATGCGTCCTAGTCTTGTCTTCTCTACCATCATAGGCGGCGCCCTGTGCACATTTGTCTGCATATATACCCCAACCTGCCCTCGCCCCGTCCCCGCCCCCGTCTGCATCCCCGTCCCCATCACGACCGACTGACTGACTGACACGACAATGTCATCACCGTCGCCCGCAAATGTCACTGTCAACCGGCTGTCTCTCGACCCTGTACTTGGCGGTGTCTCGTACAAAGATGCCTCCGCGTTATATACCCGCTGATGGGCAGGTACGCCCGAGTGATCAATCCCTCCCTGCCGCCCGCCCGCCCGTGCATTGGCGTGTCTTAGGCTCCTAGCCGATATGACGCATCAATCAGGCACAATGAAGCTGGAGGCGGGGGTTGGGGGCTGCTGCGGGAGCTAGTGCTGGTGCCTGGAACTTGGAGCTTGGAGAGGAGGGCGTGGGGAGGGAGGCAAGGTCGCATGCATGCATACTTCAAGTTTTTTTTGTAGCGTTTGTTTTGCTTTTATCTCGTTATTGGTTGTCTGGATTGGTCTTTGCTGGATGCGTGTTTTTGTACAGTAGGACATGGATGTGTGTGTTAATGTGTATCATACGCGGGATGCTATCGATGTATGTAACAAATGTTCAGCACAGGTTTTGGTTCAGTTGGACTTTTTTTGTAATAAATATGTATATTGTTCGGCGTCTGGGGTAGGCGCCCTCCAGCTGAATCGGATAGTGTCAGATTCTATTTGCTCATTTGTGATGATCCAGGAAAGCTGTCTTGGCTTGCCGGATGGTGGAACGGATCGTTTGGTTTTTGAATCTGAAGGCTGCGAGTTCGACCTTCGCGGTGGGCTAGTGTTCTTTTTTACGTTCACAATCAGTTTTTGTTGCATGTTCGGCCACGTACAAAGCCTCCATAGAATGTGTATCCATCCGTAAGACAATCATCTTTGCTCTCTCTATCCAATCGCGAAAATAAATCAAGTCTGTCCAACATCTCCCTTCAACCGGGTGTGCACCACACACGATGCTCACTCATCAACTTCATCCCCATCCACCTCCAGCACAAACCTGGAATCCATCTCCGCGCCCGCCCGCGCCATCGTGTCCTCTTTCGCACAGACGTATCGGTGCAGCATGAAGTCCTCGTCCTCGCCCGTCTCTACCACCAGCACCATGCGCGCCCTGCCCAACCAACCGACAATAATCAGCCCAGAACAATAACTACAAGCAGAGTGATTGTGGGTGGGTGGAAAGGGGGCGTACCGATCATAGAGATGCTCGATGCCGAACGTGCGGCACGCCTGCATGAGCACCTTCCCGACGGTGTGTCGCGCGCGCGTCTTGAACTGACACGCCTGGATGCCCGACGTGCCGTCGTCGTACTCGATCGAGACGACGAACCGGTCTTCGGCCGGGTTTGGCGTTGGTGCTGTTGAGTGTGAACTTTTGTGCGTTAGGGTAGGATGTTGGTGCGTAGGCTCACCGGTGGTCTGTGGTTGAGGAGTCAATGGGGTAGGTCCTTTCTTCGATCTCGTAGGAGAGTCGATTGGGCGGTCTGAGCAGCATGGCGTTAGAGTTGATTCGGGTGATCATGTTAATCGAGACCTACTTGATATTGGCTTCACCCCTTGATTACTCGTTCCATTCGCCGCCACCGCTGACGTCAACGCGCTCAGCTTCACGGGCGATCGAAACGGTGTCCTCGGCGTATGCGTGAACTTCAACTGGCTCTCGAAAGCGTGGTTACGTTTCGGGGTGGCCAGCGACGACAGCTTCAATTGGCGTACGCTGGAGGAAAGTGGACGTTTGGATTCGTCGACGAAGAGCGCCTCCGCCCAATTCGGGCTGGGGTTCGCTCTCTTGGATACGGTATTGTTTGCTTCTTTCTTGATTACAATGTCTGGCTCCTCCTGGAGTTTGTCCCGCCTGGGGGTGGCCTTCAATGCCTTCTTATCTTTCTCCGCGCCTTTTGACTCGTCTTGCAAATTATACTGCTTCGACGCTGCATTCTGTGCCTTTTTCTCCTTCTCCGGCGTGCTGTGCTCATCCTGAAACTCATCCTCCTCCTCGTCCTCCTCCTCAGAGTACACACTCCCACGCGACGTACCCTTGCTCTTGCTGGGAGAGGCGATGACTCCCCGTACTTCCTCTTCCTCATCCTCGTCCTCAACGTTCGTCGCGCTCAGACTCACGTCCAGATCCAACTTGCCCAACAGCGCTGACGCGGGGGCAAATCCTGAATTCGACACGAGAGACAACCGGGAAAGCCGCCTGTTTCTCCCCTCAGACAGGACGCGCGGCGAGGGGCGCGCGCCGTGCTCGTGTGTTATCACTCGCGACGCGCTCTCCGCTGCCGTCGAAGTCAACGTGTTGCTTGACGTCCGGGAAGAGGTGGTGCGCGTCTCGACGGAGACGGATGCGAGCACGCGACGGATGCCCTCCCACGCATCGGCGTGGATGCGGACTTTCTGTCCTGCACAGCCCGCGAGGCCGTGCGTCACCAGACAGAGCTCGCCATCCAGGGAGAATTCCTGCTGGGCAGTTTTGATCGCATCCTGCGAGGGCATCAGAAATGCACTGGAAGTTGGGCATAGCAAACAGGTACCTCGTAGGTTTCCGGCAGTGGCAGGAGGACATGCTCAGACCCATGGAAGAGGACAATGAGCTCTGCGGAAGAGCGGGTGTCTGCGTCTGTACACCTGAATAGCATGCTAAGTGGATGGAAGGAACGAAGAGTTCGAGCGTCGTGGCGCGCGTGTGGCGTATGTCGGACGCGGTTCGACTCCTGGGCACGTGATGGCGTGTCTGTGTCGTGATCGTGATCGGTTCGATTCAGGCTCCCTCGAAGGATCCATCTTCTGTACGTACGCAGCCTTGCCACCTCAGAACTCGGCAGGCATATCGATGCAGTGCTCTACTCCTACCTGCTGTGCAAAATTCTGGACTCAGAACCTGGATATCTGAAAAATGGACCACGCTCAGGAGCTGGCCGCACTGCCGCCTTACTCACGCTGTGGTAGGCTTGGCACTGCGCCCTGGTTGTGGACAAGCGCGCCAAGAAGCGGTGCATTCCTGTCGACGCTCGTCAGGAGTACAAAGTCGTCTTCAGAGTCTCCTTGACGAAGCATCTTTCCCCGACACACTCTATCCAGCAGCACAGAACAGCATGTCCTACGGAGGCGGATACGGTGGCGGTTATGGTGGTGGTGGATACGGCGGGGGTGGGGGCTATGGAGGCCAATACAGCGGCGAACCAGGCGGATTCGCGCCTCAACGCCCGCCGCAGGGTCCTCCTCCTGGTGCGGACCCTCAGTGAGTGTGCAATATCCTGCGGAGAGAAAAATGCGCGCGCTAATATGTGTGGGTGTGCAGGCTGTGGCAGTGGTTCATCTCGGTCGACGCTGACCATTCGGGGCAGATCAGCGTGCACGAGCTCCGTGAGTTGTTTGAAGATGTTATTTAAATCATTGTTCCTCAGGTCTGAATGTAATTTTGTGGCTTGCAGAGAAGGCGTTGATCAACGGCGATTGGTCGCGTAAGTGTGATCATCCATTTGAATGAATTGTGGTTCGGAGACTGACATCATCGCGCACAGCGTTCGATCTTGACACTGTTAAGATGTTGATGACAATGTTTGTGCGTTGTACGTTCGTCTGATCCAAGTCGTTGCTCTGATCATATTGAGCAGGACTCTGACCGGAGTGGTACGATTGGCTTCAACGAGGTAACGCTTCGTCCACTCGTTCTCAGACGGACTCTAGCTCATTTCTACCGCGAAGTTTTCCGGCCTGTGGAAGTACATCAAGGTACGCTAATTATGTTCGCCAATCCGCAACTGTCTGACCGACCATCCCAGGACTGGCAAAACGTCTACCGACACTTCGACCGGGACCACTCCGGCTCGATCGACGTGCGCGAACTGCGCGATGCGCTCACGCAGTTTGGGTACAACCTCTCGCCGCAGCTGCTCCAGCTCGTCGAGCGCAAGTACGGTGAGTTTCTCCCCCTCCACTCTCTCGCGCACATCCCGCTGACCTGGGCAGATATCACTGAAGGACCCGGCGTGGGCAAGTCAGGCTCCGCGGGAACGGATGGGCCGCCGGGGATCACGTTCGACCGCTTCGTGCGCGCGTGCGTCGCGGTGAAGCAGCTCACGGAGTCGTTCCAGCGCCTCGACACGGACCGCGATGGGTGGATACAGATCAATTATGAGCAGTTCATGAAGACGATACTGAGCTTGCCGTAGGGTCAGACAAGACGTGAGTGGTTTAGCGATGGGTGATGTGGTGGGAATAGCTGATGCAGGAAACAGGAATCGGTGGACGCAGTGTATTAGTATGGACCAAACTCCCGTTCTTTAGTTGACAGGACTGGCCTATGTGTACCCTCACGTTGAATTGAAAGCGTTCAAATGACGTTCATGTCTAACAGAGACGGTTTGTCTGATCGATGATAGGTATGTAGAGCCGACGTGTGGTAACAGTGGGATGTCACGAGAGCCCGGTGGTCTCCTCAGGTCTTTCGTACTGTATAGAGGTCAACGACGTAAACGAGTGTCGCGTATAGTAAGCAACGGCGGGAACGCCTGCGATTGAGTCGCAAAAGTGTTGCTCGAAAGCCAACAGAGCAAGACCTTCATCATGTGCGGAATGCATTACGGCTCATGATATACGATGTGCGGCTTTTGATGATCCTCCATGGTGCATTTCTTGTGTGAGAATTGCATGTATGCTTCACTGAAAGCTTTAAGGCGCCGTGGAGGTCTTCGAATGGGCGCTGCGAACCAACACCGCAAGCCCGGGTTCACTTCACCTCATGCGCTTCCCCATCCTTCAACAGCAGCCTCTGCAGGCCCTCCTGCCGAGTCCACGGCACCTCCTCCTCAAAATGGTTGATAATCACACATGCCTGCGTCGGCAACAGCCCTCGACCGCCATCCGCCAAATACCTCCGCACCGCCTGCACCATCCCATCGTCCATCCCAGACCACACCTCATCGAGCAGCACGAGCTGCTGCCGGCCCACCAGCGCGCGCATCAGCAGCACGATCGACTGCTCGCCAGGCGAGAGGTCCACGAAATGGCGCTTCGCGAACGCCTTGTCCTCCTCCGCCTCGTAGTCGCCGTCCGCCACGCGGCCCGCCCACGAACGGGGCCCGAGGCCTTCGAGCACCTGCCACATCCGGCGGACGCGCCACGTCTCGACCCTCCCAGCAGGCTCGAGCGACGTGCCATCTGCATTCATCCCAACGTGCAGTCGCCCGCGCGGCACGAACTCGCCGTGGAAGCCCGTTCCGACGACGTCCCACACTGTCATGCCCGGCCGCCGCGGGAACGCGTGGTGTAGCTCGGGCGAGGTGCGCCCGATGCGCCCGTTGAGCGCCACAGTCGGCCAGCTGTCGCGCTGTCGTCCCAATATGCGCAGGCAGTCGGCGTGTGTGAACGACTGCGGGTGCTCGCCAGTGATCATGGCGAGGAGCGTCGTCTTTCCAGCACCATTGTCGCCCATCAGGTGCCAGCGTGAGTTTTCGTGGATCGTCCAGTTGACGTTTTTGAGCACCTGACGGTCGCCGTAGCTGAGGTTGAGATCAGAGACGCGGATGATCTCGTAGCCGAGCTTTCGCTCGCCTTGCTGGGTGGTGTGGTGGAGCCCCAGATTGGCCCGGAACTTCCCTTCGATCTCCGAGGCAAGCTCCTGCTTTGTCCCTGTCAGGACCGTGTGTTCGGATGTGACCAAGGCGACATGGGTGATCCAGTCAGGAAGAGGATCATTTGGACGCATCCCGAGAATAACGTGCGGGTTGCTCGGATCCGAAGAAAAGTGCAACCTGCGCAGGAATCTTACAAGTAAGGAACGCGTATCGACATCGAGCCCCGCTAACGAGTAGACAGAATGAATCAGCATCTCGTCGTCTCCGAGGCGATGCAACTCACTTAACGGCTCATCCAACAGAAGCAGCGAAGGCTGGCGCAATAGCGCTTTCGCAATCCGCACCAGACGCATCTGTCCGTTACTCAGTGCAACGACAGGGAGCTCTAAAAGCTTTGATAGGCCAAGGTCACGGATAAGCTTTTTGAACAGCGTCTGCTTCTTCGAATGTGTAGATCCGTCGACGCGCCTCCTTTCGTGCAAAGAAGGGATGGCCAGTTTGTCTGTCGACGGGCCGGATTCAGTGAAGTAGGCCTCCCGCAGCGTCTTCTTGTCACCGTCACGGATAGCCCCGTACCGAGCGGTGTAGTCATAGAACTCTGCTCCCGGCGTATTTCGACCACTGCTCACAAGCACTACGTGTGAGGCGAGGTCTTTGTGCTTGATAAAAGGGAATATGCCATCTGGAGGGAAAGGATCAATCCGCCGCTGACCTATCAGAGCTTTCAGCAAAGTGCGCTTGCTGCTGCCATAGCCAGCGGTGACGATGGCCCATGCCTCATTTGGCCGAACAGTCCAGGAGACGTCTCGCAAGAGAGGCTCGGATATGCCACTGGAGTCCCCGAGAGAGTAGATGGAGGACTTGGGTATGTGGAGGATGAGCGCGGAAGAATGTTCTGATGTCGGTGCAGAGGAGCGGTGATCAGTGTTCTGCGATATCGTTGCAGCTTCCTCGCTATAACAACGGACGAAAGACAGTCGGTGCAGCAGGCGTATAGGTGGACGAAAGCATGCTAGGTTGAACATAGCATACCAGACGATGCTAGATGGAAGGTACGGACAGTGTTCCGCACTACTGGGTGGCTATAATTTTGCGCAGATACTAGGATTGCCGTATAGAAATGGACGCCGATTGCAAGCGTTCGTGAGCGTGAGCGATAGAGGTTTTGCGATTTTCTGAGGTGGGTGAGTTGAATCGTGGAGCGTGAATTGAATGGCGGTGTTCCTGCTGCAAGAGGGATGGCACGTCTTGATCACAAGCTGCTGCTCCGAAGGAAGGATTTATTAGACGGGCAAAATAAGTACGGGCAAGTGGCAAGTGACTCGGAGCAGACGCGATCGAGCCGATCAGTAAACCGTCTGCTTAGTCAGCAATACAATTTCTCATCGGACACCAAACAACTATTCCTCAACTTATTGGTTTGCGCAAATCAATGCCGCATACGGTACACCTGCTCATAACGCATAATGTCGGTGCCCAGGTTTGGCTATGCATTATGAGGTAGTATGCATTACCAGGCTGTCACATAGTGTGACGTTGAGTGACTATGCGTGACTTTTCAAGGTAGGGCTGTCACGCACACAAAATAGGCCTCACATTTCACCAGATTATTACTCCTTTTTTGCGACAAACCTGGTTTAGTACCCCCAAATTTGGACATAAACATAATTTATAAACATAATTATGGGACAAAAATGGTGTTATGCGTCCTGTATAACCTTCAATGCACGTGAAATTTCCTAGTTAGATATTATTCTCACGATATCATAATGCATAATGCCGCGTTTTAGGTATGCATTATGCGGTATGAGATCTCATGCATAATTTGGCGGGCACCAACTCCGTGCCCACATGGAGCTATGCGTTATGAGGTGTTATGCACTATGAGGGAATGCATTATGAGCAGGTGTACTGTACATCGATCTGTATCTGCATATCGCCGTGATGGCTCGGGGGCTAGAGTTGTGGCTTATATTCTCTGATCGAAAAGGTGCCACTGGAACGGTTGTCGCATTAGTAGGCGTGCTCAATTCTTAGAGTTCGGCACGCCAGTTCAGTTCGTCGACCTCAAATACCAAGGGGACGGCGATGCCGAGCAGATGCCGAGTATTATGTAAGCCAAGTGGCTCGTGGGAACGCTAGGCAGGGAACAGGAGTGGCGAGATTATTTCCGAAGGATTGCTTTACATTTTCTCGATTTTTATTGCCATCTCCCGTCGCACCTTCCCTCAGGCTCTGGTTTACCATGGATTGCAACATGTATGCACAGAGTTGCTTAGCCTGAATGTTAAAATGCTTCCAAGCAATAATTACACAGACTATCTCAGCACATTTGATGACAGCAATATGCAGGACCATGCAGTAGCTGCTGTCAATGTCATTATTGTTCCTCATCTATGTTGTGACTTTGTGAGAGTGAGATACACAGCCATTCGTCACTGTGATCCCCACCGAGGTTGTCTGCAGCTGGACACCACAAACCGTGAGAAGATTGTGGGTGTGCAGTCTTCTTTTCAGGGATGTCCGCATCGCAATTTGGGGTTTACACAAGCAGCAATTCACACAAGAAATGTAGGAATGTCCCAAAGATAGAATTAACTGCCGGACATCTCAACAGCCACATTTGCTTATGTAATTCTCGGCATTTGCTCGGCATCGCCGTTCCTTTGGTATTTGAGGTCGACGAACTGAACTGGCGTGCCGAACTCTAAGAATTGAGCACGCCTAGTATCGCACTGTCCTCCCAGCCCCCAGGTCAGCATTGCTGGTCTCCGCTGATAGAATTGTAGTTCTCTACAGTTCGACAAGAACATATTGCCCACGTTTGATGGCGAAGAACAGCACGTCATGATCCACTATTGAGTGAAGGATGCGAATCTTCGGAAGGTATGACCGCCAAAGACCCGACAGCGCCCAATTCGGCCCAGAATGCATCCAATAAGTGTCGCTGGATTCTTTCTCGGTCCATCGAGTGTAGCTAGAACGCGTCGTCTGCGACGCCCGATAGCTTGGGGCCTGGGTCGCAACTCATCGCCAGGTCTCAGAGGGATCTCTGCATCGATGTCGAGGGTAGGCGTGGATCGGTGTGAAGCTCAGGAATACCAAGATCGGTGCTTGCTGGTCACCCAGAGCAATGCTGCCGAACGGAGCAGTCAGGATTCCCTCCGTTCGGAACCTCGTAAAGTTACTGCCGACCAAGCAGCTGAAATGTCCCTCTTCGGGGTCCGGGAGGGCTCTTCGACCCAACGGAAGGGAATCAGCCAGGGAGGGAAATGAACCATGCGTGTTCGAGCACTTCCTATGCGCTATCCAGGTAGGCACACACGTGGAGCTCGGAGGGGATTTTGAGTAATGGTGCTACAATCTCTTAAGATCATCCATGAAAGGTCTTTGTATTTGAGGTTTCCACGAAGTTTGATGTATGCCTGCAATGATCGACAAGTCTCTACCGAGGTCGAGATGCAACGCGCTCCGAATGGTAACCTTTCCATCACGCTCAGGGAATTCGGGTCTTCAGGAAGTCCATCGAGTCGCATCTCCTCCCCCATCCTGGCATGCTGAAGCGTAATATGCGTTCATGCGACTCATCGAGTGATTTCTGCATTTTGACCGAAAATTATCGGTGGGGGTTGACGGCGTGTTAGCCTTAGGATTGCTTTCAATGAGCTCCTTCGCATTAACTCTGTTACAGTCCCTTAGATTTCCATTCTTTTCCAGAACGAGAATTACTTGCGAGTGTCTGTCTAAAGCGACAATCAGGTCGTCATCGGGCTAAGCTTGTGGCAAGCAACAGAACGATGATACGCAGTACGACAGATGGATCTGTCGGCCGTATAAGTCTCTTCTTGCAACCGCTACAGTTGAATTAATTAGAATCATGATCAGGTGAAGAGTTGCAGGGGCAACAAGTTCCTGATCTCTAGCTGAGGTTGAAGTCTGAAGACGCAACACAGTTTGCTCACTCGTGGCTGATTGTCTGCGCATCCTATATAGCGACTTGGGGTCTTGGTCATACAGGCTGCCAATGCACCTTCAGGCTATATCTTCATTTTGCGAGAGTCAGCCAAGACAAAGAGAACGAGTGACGGTGACGATGATACACCGAGGTCACGTGCATGTGACGTTTCGTGGGAAGCGCCCGACTCGCCATCCTTGGAATCTGGATTAGGGGGGCCACAACTTGCTGTGCCAGCACCCCTCATGCTCACAACTCAAATCTCGATTTGACCAATCTACCGAGACAGTCTACAAAGGCAGCAACATGGACGCGGAAAGGATACGTGGCTGGCTGACGGCGCCGTTCGGTTTCACAACGGTTCCAGTCACCACGTTGGCCGTCGTGCTCTACGCCTTGTTATTCTCTCTGGTCTCGCGTTCTGACCAGCTCTATGATGTTCCAAAGGACACAAGTGGATTGAATGTGGATAGGGCATATTTTGACTTGCACCAGGTGAGAATTGTGCCCGAATATTACGCAAATCACCGCATACATCACTTTTGGGAGTTCTGGGGGGTTATCAGACGAGATAAGATATTCTTCGTGGCGGAGTGCTATGGATGGTGATATGAGACGTTTGCACGTTTTACAGACGGCGTCTGATGAACTACTGTCTAATAGGCCTACGCTGATCATGCTTCACGTTTCAGATTACTGCGCGTCCGCACCCATACCTATCACATGCCAACGATGATGTGCGGACGTACCTCCTGTCGCAGCTCAAACCCATCGTTGCTGAACACGAGCACGTCCACCTGTCAGATGACCTGCTTTCCAACGCATCTTGGGTCATTAGAGGGTATGGCGTGTATTTCGAGGGGACGAACATCCTCGTCAAGATTGATGGGACGGATAGCTCACTGTCCAGACCAGACTCCAAGCCGACTGGTGTGCTCTTCTCCGCGCACTACGATTCGGTCTCTACCGGTCCTGGCGCTACAGATGACGGCATGGGGATCGTGACGTTGCTGGAACTTGTCAGGTACTTGTCCAACCCAAAGCATAGGCCGAGACGGACGGCCGTTTTCTTATTCAACAATGGGGAGGAAGACGGTCTGAATGGGGCATACGTGTACTGGAAGCACCCTTGGTCCAACCTCACTTCCAGCTTCATCAATCTGGAAGGGGCTGCATCAGGAGGGTGAGTTTTTGACCATAGTCACGATGAACACTGCTTTAGCTGCGAACAGCCGACCGCTACTTTTCCGTTCCACGTCTCTGGCACCTACACGCGCCTTTCTCTCGAGCGCCATCCGGCACCTGCAGGCGGACGTCGTGACCGGCGATGCGTTCAAGCGTGGCGTTATAAAGAGCCATACCGATTATGAAGTGTACGCGCTGGGCCTGAAGGGTGCGTCTTTAACATCACGTATGCGTACGGAGCTCAGACAATGCTCTGTTATAGGCAAGGCGGAGCCGATGGCTGGCCTAGACGTCGCGTTCTACAAGAATCGTGCATACTATCATACGACACGGGACTCGGTGCCTGGGGTGGGTTATGGACAGGGTCGAAAGGCACTGTGGGCGATGATGGAGGTTGCGAGGGGAGCAGGAGTCGCGCTGCTGAACGTCGACGAAACGTCCGATGACAATGGGCAATCTGGAGTGTACTTTGATCGTGAGTGCCTGTCAATATGGTGATGCCGTGCAACCTGCTTATGTCGCAAACCAGTTTTGAGATCTAAGCTCGTGCTATTCTCGCTGCACTCGCTCTTTGTGACCAACGTCATATTCCTTGTCATCGGACCTCTTACGACGTTCGTTCTATTGGTCGTTCTGCGGTTCGGGACTAAGAAGCCTTCTGGTGAGTTTTGAAGTATATTGCCTGAACGCGGGAGCATGCTGACTCGCTGGCATCGTTACGAGAGGAACGCGCGGCTGAGCAACACGCCACAAGTGGAACATGGGTCAGAACTAAAGAGGTCCTACGAGTTCTAATAGCTTGGAGCCGGTTCTGGGTGGCGCTCATATTGGGAGTAGCCGCTCAAATCGGCGTCGTAGCCGGCTATCTCAGCGTCAACCCCTACGTGAGCTCAAGTTGAAGTTATGGTTGAATATAACAACCACTAAGTGCCTTGCTCTACAGGTTGTCCATGCTCACCCATTTTTGGTGCTCATGACGTTTCTGTCCCTCTCCTTTCTCGTGATCGCCTTTCCGATTCAGTTGCTTCAGCGGCTTCTGCCTTCCCCACCATCCTCGCAGAAGCTAGCTATGCTACTCGAACATTATGTTTTCACCTGGATCCTGCTCATCGCCGCCACAGTCCAAGTCAACAAAAATCAGATCGGTGGTGGATACTGGATTACTGCATGGAATATTTGTGCATGGCTTGCGCTGTCGGTCGCATTTATTGAAGGAAGCGTACGGGCGCGGAGGATGGGAGACGCGGGCAACAAAGCGGCATTTGACATGACTGTGGACGATGTTCACGATGAGAGCAATGACACGGGCCGCCGGTTTGTCAGCGGCGTGCTGTACGAAGTCCCAGAAGACCCTCACCACCCCATAGACGAGCAGGAGCACAGTGACACTCAGGGCGAGATTGTTGAGACGGAGCCAACGGAGATTACGCCCCTAATGCACCAGAGCCGCGGAGTTGCCAGCGCAGATGCAGTGCATGCGAAATATGACGAGTTTGGCTGGTGGATCTTGCAGCTCCTTGTGGGCGTGCCAATTACTGCGCTGCTCCTGTTCCAGCTGGAGCTTCTTCAACTGCAAGCGATGATGAATACGCTGGTGGACGGAAGTAGCCCCTTAATTGGTGAGCACTGAGTACATGGCGTTCCGTCGTGTTTTTGATCAAATTCAAATTTGAACCGCAGTTTATGGAGCCCTCTCGGTACTATCGATGTTCATTTTCATTCCTCTGGCACCGTTTGCACATAAGCTCCACTATGGACTCACGCTCGTCGCATCAGTCCTTCTCGTTCTTGGACTGGTGTTTTCTTGGACTGCGTTGCCGTTTACCCTAGACAAGCCCTTCAAAGTATTCGTGCAACAGCAAGTTGAGGTTGACCTACCTCCTTACGATTCATTGTCGACTCCCTTAGCTGTCAATGCCGGCAACGCTGAAATGTCGGTGATTTTTCAGCAGAACAGCTCGAACAGGGTTGTGCGAGCTGTAACATCCCTGACTGGGCTGCACGGTTATGTCGACCGCCATATCGTACGTGACATGCCGTCATCCTGGGGAAAGGACGTGCAATGTCATGAGGACACGTTGGTCCGACCAGGCCTGTACGAATGTTTGTGGGAGAGCGAGCTCCTGCCCTGGCCTGGAGGGAACGAGACGGAGGGACCTCACGCGCAATGGATCGACGTCAAGACGACGCGACTGAACGACACTAGCGCAATGATATACGTTAAAGGGACCAATACACGTGGCTGCAGACTGTACTTTGACAAGCCGATCAGCTACTACAAGATCCGTCGCTCGGACGAGGAGGACGCGCCACAGGTGAGCGGTACCGATGGACAATTCTTGCCCGGATATGAGATGCCTGCGGAGGGCGTGAAGGAGGTGAGGCTGTGGACACGGACGTGGGAGAGAGGATTCTCGGTGGAGTTTGGATGGAATGGCACAGAGAACGACTCGAGCTCTGCCCATATGCAAGGGCGGGCTGCATGCGAGTGGGCAGAGTATGCCAGTGGCTCCGCTGGTGGGAGTACTCCAGTCGCACGTAGCGGCCTGATTCCTGCGTTGGAAGAGGTGAAGGCGTTCCTTCCCTTGTGGGCACTGCCTACCAAGTTGACCGATGGGCTGGTGGAGGTGTGGACTAAGTTCTCGATTTGACTGACACGTCATGGACATTGTGATGGATTAGACTGCCATTTCTCGGTGTATACATTCTTCAAAAACTATTGGCTGTCCTACACATGATGCTGAGACAAAGGCTTCGGGACTGGTATTAAGAACTGTCGCGATTTATTTGGAACGTGATGGCTGACCGTCTGGATGACACTTCTCGGAAGTGCTCATTCGTGTGGCCTGAACACGGCGTACTCGCCACTATGTCTGCACAACTACTAGGCGGACTTTCCGGGGCTGTGATCCTCTTTCACTCCCGGACCGTCTTTTCCACTCCTTCCAGTATCGTTTACATATCCAATCTCCCGGCCCTTTCATCCTCATGTCTCGCCATCGCCTCTTTTCTCCTCCACCTCATCCTGGCCGCCAGAACACCTCCGCCCAAGGTGACGAACCAGGATTCGAGATTCCTTCCCTACAAGCAGTACTTCATGTTCGGCCTCGTCGTCCTCACCACCATCCCCAACGCACTGTCGTGTGCCGCTCTACTTCGTCGTCGTGATCTGGATCACAATCGTCTCTCGAACGTCGTCAAGTCGGTGTGCCTACTGCATGGGTTTCTCGTCGAGGTATGTCGTCCATCTATGCCCCCTCCGTCATGAATGAAGACCTGCTCACAATCTCTCTCCCCATCTCTCTCTTTCTCCCTGACAGATGCTCGGGAAGAACCTCGAAGTCGCCAGAATTCTTGCCATATTTATAGACGACCACGTCCCTGGACTCCAGTCCGAGGTCGGTGCAGGTATAAGCCTCCATGCCGGAATAGCGGCCCAATGAGAGCTTAGTCGTGCCGCCGTACTTGGCGACGATGTAAAGGGGCTCGCCGTTCTTGTCCTCCGTGTCGGGACTGTTGACGAGGCGGCGAGGCAGAGCGCGAGTGATGGGGAGCTGGAGGTCGGCTGGGATGTTCCTGTTCCCGCGAACGGCAGCGATGGGCCAGAAGGGATCCTCGAGTTTACCGGCGCTGTATTGGTTTCCTGAAGAGTTGAATGTTAGTAAGCGAAATTGGAATGCCTTCAAGGGGACGGAACGCACCCAGGTCTACGATTTTACGCTCAAAATTCTCGAGCTTCTCCCCATCGACGGCGAATGTGGCGATATCGCGAGTGTAGTTGCGGTCGTCAACCCTGACGGAGATCTCGGGAGCCCAGTCGACTTCACCGAGCCTGCGGCCGTTGGTATCCTGCCAGTTGGCTTGGACTTCGTCGAAGAACGTCTGGAGAGTGGCGTTGTCTTCGTTCTGGGCGTCCAAGGCGGTCTGCTTGCGTCCCAGGGCCGTGCTGTTCGCCCCGCCCGACTTCAACTTCAAGGCCGCTAATTCTCCGGCATGTCTAATGGCATCGCGAAACCCGGTGTTGACGGCGTCTTCGATCTCGACGACGGCACGAGCGAGACGACGTTCACCACAGACAAGGATATGTTGAGGGTTGGCCGCGTCCAACTCGTAATGGGTGGTCGTGTCGACGGAGGCGACGTGTTTGTTGGTGAGGGCGAGGATTCTATCACTGGGGTCGCCATTGCTGGCCTTCATCTCCCGGAACAGGAACGTGAGGGTGCCCTGCGCATCATCGGACTGCCTGGCGATGGGGATGCCGAGGCCAGTGTTAAAGGGGTGGTTGAGGCCGAATATGGGACTGGTGTTGTCCTTGACGCTCATCAGAGGCGGGCCGACCAGCCTTTCGACCGACCCTTCGTACCACTCGACGACGACATCGGTGATCTGGGATTCAGCGAGGATGTCAAGGATATCGGGCGTGGCATTGTGAACACCCTCGGCGTTAATGGTGTTGGGACGAACCGCGATCCATACCACGACTGGGCCCAAAGTTTCCTCCTTGCCATCCTCGACGATCGAGAAGCGCACTGTCTTCAGCGCAGAGTACTTAAGGCCATGGGCCTTCATCGATGCTAAGATCTGAGGAGCGACAGTATCCCATACAGCGTTAAGCGGCGTATTGAAGACACCGTGGGCAGTTTTGTGGGGGATTTTGAAGAAGCGGGCTCTAAGCGCGGGGATGGGGAAGGGGTTGGCCTCGAAATCGGAACGCCACATGAGTTTGGGAGGGTTGCCGGAAATGCCATGATACCAGTAGGTCATCTCGAACTTGGAGATCAGTGCGGGGGAGACGACGGTGAGGGCGTCTGAGTCGTTACTGAGCTATGAGTAGAGGGTATCGGCCTCGCTGATGGTGGGAGAGGCGGGAAACGTAGGAGAGCCCACAGTGTCTTGTGGGGGAGCCTGGGCTGAGTATCTGCGATTGATACAGTCGACCATGCTGCTTCATGGTCGCGGCTGGAAAGGCAAAAAGATGTGAGTACGTGGAAACTGAAACGCGCAAGAAAGAAGATGAAGAGACTTACAGCCAAGGTTCTCGGGATCAGCCCTCACTTTTTCAACCATGATTCTGACACCCGGAGCAACGTCTATGGTGCGCGCCACCTAGTCACCGCTTCTTTTGTACAGTGGCCAATTTGGCCCATGGGCAGTGGTACTATACTGATAAACCCTACTATAGGGTTCCCCAATGGGCTGGCTTATCAGTTACATCGATCTGTATCCTATCGTATGAATAAAAATTAATACATCTGAGCCATTGACGCATGCCACAATCAACGAAGCAACAGAAGGCCTCTCACCCCAGACATGGGGCCATTTTTCTGCATGTAAAATGGAAAGAAAATGTGAATTAGTATTATAAAAATTGGGTATCTATTTGTCAAACCGGCAGATTGCTTTACACATTGGGCATTTGTAAATGATAATGGGATTATAAAATATGCTTAACCATATCGTAAGGGCAAATCTTATGTCTATTTCATGAATTTAACACAAGGATTTACGCACACTACAATTAATGTCACAGATTTTGGATATATGATGGGCAACCACACTTTTGCATACTTTGTCTTTTAGAAGGCACTTTGGAACTTATTATCACACAGGATATGCATAGATGGCAGATTATGACTCATTATTTGCGCTCGTGACAAAGTACAGACGACTAACTACTGTCTTTTTAAGACATAGATCAGGTCATTATACGACACCGTGATCTCCACCGGCTGCGGACGCGGCTTTTTCTTAGACCTCCAACGAGGCAGCTTCGCTTGAGG